TCATATAGGTGTCTCGGAATAACTTGGCTCAAAGGAGAAGCATATAGCTTGAAAAAAAAATGGAGAACACAATTATAAATGCAAAAAAAAAAAAAGAGGATAGAAACGCATAGAAAGTCCAAAGTGTCTCAAAGATCATTTCGGATGAAAGCCTTCTCTATATGAAATTGAGTTAGCTTGTGGGCGTTGGGTTCAACTTCTTCTAAGCTTTAAACTAAGAAATACAACGTGCAACCTCAAACTCATCTGGCTTTTTTTTTTTTTGATAACCAACTTATCTGGCTTTTCTTTCGTTTTGTCTCTATTTGAATAAATTGGTACACATATGAAATCCTACATAGTGATATCAACAACTTCTCGACCTTATAACTACATGAAACTTTGGCTTGTAAACAAGCTCTTGAAACTAAGAAATTTGGCTTACCCCCGGAGATGCAAATCATTCAAAGTTTAGCACGAGTGAGATCTACCATTTGTTAAAACTTCAAAACCTTAATGTCAATTATTCCTTGTATCATATTAATGTTTTAGAGAAAAAAATTGTATCAAAATAGATGATGTTATTCATTTTTCTAGATACAAATTTAATACTTTTTAGCTTTTGTGACCATTTGAATTTTGCAGTATTTAATGTGATTGGTTGATTTAATATTATTTAAATAATAAATAATTTGTTTAATATTGAAAATACACAAAATTAACATTATATATTGAGTTTCTTAATTGTTGTACCACTATCTTAAACATTATCTATTGTGATACGAAAAAGTAGAAAATAATAGTTTGAAATTAATGTGATCAATTGCGACCTGACCACTGATCATGCATGAACTCCCTTTTATCTTCTCTTCGATTGCTCCTTCAGTTGGGCTATTTAGCAACCATTTTGCCCACAAATTAATAAAACTTTCTTCCTAATCAATCTTGGCATTAATTACTATCTTGGCCATGCAAAACCTCTCTAGTTCGATAGCTTCTAGCATTAGATTTCAATTATGTGTTTCTCACATTTACCACGTGGATCTTTATTTTTACATATATTATTAGACTAACACCCATTCAAAAACATTTAGTAAAAAGCATGTAAGAAGTCAGTTAAACCATCAAACTTTATTTAATAACGTTAATACCATTTCATTCTAAAAACTAAAAAAACTTAAAAAATTAACAACTAAAAGTTAAGTCTTTTTCTTTTCGACAAAACTTCTTCTTATTTTTTGTCTCTCAACAAAGCCTCACTACTCACAGCCATCGGCCACCATCATATATCAACTAATTTTTTTTCTCTTGATTCAAAAATTTGTTCCTTTTATATTCTTTTGATCTATTAAAATCTTAAAAATCAATTGTCTTCACAAAGCTTTTTCTAGGTTTTTTCAAACCCTAAATCTCTCTAAAAGAGAAAGACCATGACTGCTTATTGTCATTGATAAAAAGAGGAATTTTGTTAGAGTAAGACATGACTCCTTAGTAGTGTCGTTGTTTAATTAGGGCTTCCTTATTGGTGCTGTTTTTTGTTTTAAATGT